GTCAGGCTCGTCCCTTGCATATACCCCACCTTCGTCAGCGCTGTGAAGAAAGCCAGGGCTTGGCCCAACCTCAACGCCCTCCGCTCCGCTCCTACGGAGGCTGCCGTCTGACCCCGCACCGGCGCTTCCGCGTCGTGGTCCTGGGGACCCCGCCGGAGTCCAGCATGCCGGATTGGCGCCGGGGCGTCCCTCCAGCCGCGCCGGATCTCGGGGCTCCGGCCTGGGAGGCGCGCGTCGGAGCGGGCGGGCGACCGTTCCGGCGTCCGGAGCTCGGCGCCGAGCGAGCAAGGCTGACCGAACCCGGGACCCGGCCCAGCCGGCGCTGCTCTCCGCTCAGCAGAGGAGCTGAAGGGAGCGACTTGCCCGCTAGGTCTCGGACCTTGGGTGTAGGGCCGTCGGCGCAGGTAAGGACAGCCCGTCTGTCCGCAGGGTTCTCGTTAACGAGATCATCCACCTAGTTCTGCCTTCCAGCTCAAGGGTTTAGTCAAGCGACCCAAAAAGAAGATCCGCCTACCTGAACCAAGCGCCCAAGAGAACGTAAAGGACAAAATCCTGAATCCTTAGGAAATTTCCCTATGTACGCTCATGCGGCAACACAATCTTTATGGTATACAAAACATAGGAAATACCCGGGTGCACAGGAAGATTTCAGGAGCAGAACGTGGCCTAGTTTTTCAGAACTCAAACTGCACCCGCTCTGTCTGCCACATCTGCCACATCAGCGTAAGGAGTTTGAGGAACTGCCGGCATCAGAAAGCAGCAGAGATTACCTAACCACGCTCCGTCTTTAAGGTAATACGCACCTTCATACGTGTCAGACAGAGTCTACTGAAATTAGATTGTGCTGAGTAGCTTATATTAAAGCCAGAATACAAGGATAATCAAGATTTTATCTTCAGAATTTCAAAGACATTAGTACCAATGCATGCCTTAATAAAACATTTTATTACTCAACAAAATTTTTCAGTGAGTCTGATCATTTTCAGGGGGCTCCAGAATCACAGCTTTTAGGACTTGAAAAGAAAAAAATCCCTTTGCCCTTCCTATGTTAGTCCGTGCCTCTTTCCGATTTTCAATAACTATTCTAAATACTAAAAGCAGATCAGACACAAAAAGAACACATGAAGTTTAAGAAAAAAGAATCTAAGTTGCCCCCTACCAGAAACACAGAAGAGATCGACAATGCAAAATTCCAAACCTAAAGTCCTCATGTATGACGTGTAATAGTAATAACTCTCTCACCTTTTCCTCCAGACCTTTCAATTCCATCTCTTAAGAAGCTCATGTTAAAGTATTCAAAGCCATAAATGAAATTCTATGAAGCACCTCATACCCTTGAGAAAGATTTCAGATTCTAGCATATCCTGCACTCTTTCCACACCACTGTGATCCTGTTTTGACGCTTGTGTGAAGGGGTGCTACAGGTGGAGTCGTGACTACCAATCCGTAATCCACTTTCATGGACCTCACATCTTATTAAATATATATATATACACACACATGTGCACATATGTTTTGTCAAATACCACACATATTACTATCCCCTTATATACTTGGAAAGAAAACTCCAAAACTTGCTAACTGATTTTAAAAAAGTAAACTGAATGTTCTATTTTATAGTCTATTCACATAGAGTATACGATTTCTACCATGCAAAAGATATTTAGATTGCTCCTATAAGTAGACATTGGATTTTACTGTCTTAAATGGGACTTGCTTTGCAATAAATGGCCAGCAAATGCTATCAGTGTTTCTAAAGCTAAGAGGAACCATGCAAGAACATTGGAAACACACTAACCAGGTAACTGACCACAACCTACAACTGACTCCCCCCATGAAGGGCCCTGTGGCAAAGCTATAAGTACTAGTTACTCCTGCTTAGACAGTGTCACAGATGTAAGATCTAGTCCTTTGGAAGAAAATCAAACAAAATTGTTGAGCCACATTGTCATTCCCTGTATTAGTGTTGTAATAGTTATTTTCAGAACATATTAAGTCAGGAGGGCCGGGACTGGGGAGATAGCTCAGTAGAATAAGCGCTTGTCTAGCAAGTGCAAGGGCCTGGGTTCAATCCCCAGTTCTGCAAAAAAATAAATACATAAATAAATCAGAAGTGCCCTGTGCAACAAGAACTAGGTAATTTCCATTATTTATTCCACCTGTAAATGAAACATGCTACATAAAAGTATGTAAGTGTTAGAACAGGCTCCTCAGTTTTAAAATAAAAAGATAAAAAATAGCTATTGGGTAAGGGATATAGTTCAGCAGGCATAAGCACCTGCCTGCAAGGTCCTGCGTTCAATCCCCAGTACCACAAAGTAGCTATTACTTGAATAATACAACTAAAGTATGTTCTGTACAAAATTGCCAGTAAATTGAAATCAATAGCACACTGAAACAGTTACCTGAAATTTTTAGGCAGAAAGAAAAGAAAACTAACCAGGTGTGATGGCACCTTCCTGTAATCCCAGGAATCAGGAGCCTGAAGCAGGAACATTGCAGAACTTGGAGGCGAACCTCGGCCACACAGCAAGAGGAGGAGGAATGAGAGAAGAAAAGGAAGGAGGAAAAGACACAAAAAGAGGAAGCCCTTTTACTTAAACTTAACCAGAGGGGCTGGTGAGATGGCTCAGTGGTCTAAAGCACCTACTTAGAACAAGCTAAGCCAAGCAAAGCACAGGGACCACGGTTCAATCCCCCAGCACCACATGCCAGCCAGCCCCGCCCCCTGGTGGGCTGAGCTGGCCACACACACAAAAAAAATAAATAAACAAACAAATAAATAAAATTTAAAAAAAAATTAAAAAAAAAAAATAAACTTAACCAGAAAGTTGTTCAAATTTTCCACTTCCTTCAGCCACTGAAGTATTATGACTTTTTGAAAGGTGCATTCAGATTGTTAGAATTACAGGTATGTTAAGAACTCTTCAGAACATGTAATCTAAGGATTTTGGATTTATAGGACTGTAGTAGCCAAGCAGCTGAAATAAATGCAAGGAACTGAAAAGGGCATGTCTCCCACTGAGGCACCATTCACCTCCAGCTTCTTGTTGCCCTAAAACAATGGGAAGCTTTAAATTACAGTCTTCTACTTTTTCAAGATAATCCAGGAACTTAGGATTTTTTTTTAAATAATTTTACCTTTCAAATGCTGGTAACTGATAAATAATTTTATTTTTAAATAATTTTATTAAATGAGACACAAGCCAGTTTCAACCAGCAATATGTGACATAATTTCCACCTGATATTAAAGTTTTAAAATTTTGAAAAACATAGTTTTAAGACTGAGACTCCTTCCCCAGAGAATTTATAAAGGCCTTTTTAAGATCAGAAGACAATTCACATAAATTGAAAAGTCAATATTCTCGTGTCTGACAACTTTCAACCAACGCCAGCATTGCAGCATATCCCTGTAAGCCCAGCACTCAGGAGGCTGAGGCAGGGGATGACAAATTTGAGGTCAGTCTGAGCAACTTCTTTGCAAGACCTTGTCTCAACAAAAAAATAAATAAATAAATGTAAAAGGCAGTGGATATAGCTCAGTATTATTACAGCACTTGCCCAGTAAGCCAATCCCTAGAACCACTGGGAGCAAGGCAGGGGAGGCCTGGGCATGGTGGTACAGCCTGTAGTTCCAGCACTCAGGAGGCTGAGGCAGAAGGATCACCATAAATCTGAAGCCAGCCTGGGTTTCATAGTGAGTTCAAGGCCATCCTGAACTGCATACGGAAACCTTGCCTCAAAAAAAAAAGAAATCTTTGCTTTCTATAATAATAATAATTGGGCTGGAGAGATGGCTCAGTAGAATAAGCGCTTCCCTGGCAAGCGCCAAGGGTCTGAGATCAATCCCCGGTTCCACAAAAAAAAGAAGAAAAAATGACACTATAATAATAATAATAATAGAAGTATTATACCTCTATCCAAGTTTTTTCCCCAGTGCTGGAAGCTGAAACCCAGGTCCTTGTGCATGCTAGGAAAACATTCTATCACTGAACTGTATCTCTGTCCCTTTCTGTAAATTTCCTTTTGAGATAGGATCTTGCAACAAAAGTACCCTCTGTCTGATCTCTGTATCCATCTTTAGCCTCACGGTGTTCACTTTAAGTACTTAGACTTCTCCCAATATGCCATGTTCTCTCCCAATCTTGTACTTTCAAAACCACTCTCTTTCCTTGATTTAGTGTGCCCAATCTTTCTTTCTTGGGCTAACTCTCCTGTTCCTTCAATATCAACTCTAATACAATCTGTGGAAACTCTCCTAGACAACTCATCCCCACTTTCTCTGCCTATCACATCAAATCCATCTGTCCAGAATCTCATCCTGTGTCAGTAGCATCTTGTGACTATCACAGCACTGGGTTGTAATTATCACTTTTCTTACCTGCATCCTCTGCGGGGTGTGGTAGTGCACACTTGTAATCCCAGCACTTTCAGGCCAAGGTGCAGGATCAAAAGATTAAACCCAACCTGGGCAATTTAGTGACTTAGCAAGACCCTCTCTCAAAACAGAAAATAAAAACAAGGGCTGAGGATGTAGCTCAGTGCAAAGACCCTGAATTCAATCCCTAGTACTGCCAAAAGAAAAAAGATAAAAACACTTATTCAATTATTTTTTATGGTAGACAAGTAGGTGAGAAAAAAAAATGTGTCAAAACCCTCCTGTGTGCTAAGCATGACACCTGGGTCCTCTTGTAAGATGTATCTCAGTAAATTTTGTAATAAATTAAATAGTGGAGATTAATGGGATTTAAAATGATCAGATGTTATGTGGATGAACTGATTTCTCAAAACACACTATTCTGTATTACTAATAATACACACTAATAAAAATGTGTTATATGTAAACCAAACATTAATGTGCAATATTACATGAAAATTTCACAAAAATAATTATAAAAGGTATATAAGGAAGGTTCATTCAAACATATTTAAATCACTCCTACACTTAGTAAAATTGATTTTTCAAAATTATTGCAAAAGATTTAAAAGGCTAACTTACCCATTCTGAAAGAAGTACAACTGGTGAAAATACAGAATTCATGACATCACAAATATCAATTTGAAATAAATATTTCTGAATCTGAAACTCTGAAGCATCTTCTGTTGATTTATAAATAAAAATATGTTAACATTTGCTACAAAACTTCTGAATCTAATTTCTTCCTTAACTGATCAATTGGAGAACAATGGTTTCTTACCTCTCTGAGAAATGTCATTGTGAGAAGACAAAGCATTATCAGTTGAAACCATCTGGCTGTCGGGAAAGGTGATTTCCACAGATCTGTCTGTTTCCATGTGAGTGTGCTTTTCAGAGTCTACTGGTAATTTTGATTTCTCATTATTTTTAGAAGAGGAGGTTTTGAAAGGTCCTTCATCATGAATTCCCATGGATAACTCTGGTGTAGAGACCATATCTGCAAATAAATAAACGTCTTATTGGGCCAGCCAAATAGCTCAGCAGATTAAAGCACTTGCAAGGAGACACAGGGACCAGAGGTTCGATCCCTGGACCTACTGCCGGCCCGCACCCAGGGCATGCTGAGATGGCAATTGAGAATGGACATGGTGGCGCTCGTCTGTATTCCCTGCTTTTGGGAGGCTGTAAACAGGCGGTTCACTACGGGTCTGAGTCTGATCTACTAGTGAGATCTTGAACACCCTGAAGACCTTTCCCTAAAAAACCACTTGCTGTGTTATGGGCTACTCTTGTATTGTCTAGGAGGTCATTCCTAGGAAATCAGAACAGACTGAAAATAGCAAAAGCAATACTGGGCAATAAGAGCAAAGTAGGAGGCATCATGATGCCAGATAGCTAGTCATATGACAAAGCTACAGGGATAAAAACACCATGGCACTGGCACAAAAACGACAAGTGTAGCAAAGAAGCAGAGGAGTAAAAACAACTCCAGGCACATTCAGCCATCTGATCTTTGACAAAAGAGCCAAAGACATACACAGGAGGAAAGATAGCCTCTTTAATAAATGATGCTGGGGAAACTACCTGTCTATACGCAGAAGATGGAATCTAGATTTATTTATTCCTTATTTCTCACCATTTACCAAACTAATATCTAATATCTAAAATCTAAATCTAAATGGATCAAAAACCTAAATAATGTCAAAACAAACAAACTTCTGGAAGCAAACATACGTAAAACTTTTGAAGACATAGGCATAGGCAAGGACCTTCTAAACAGAACAACAATTAGTTGCATAAGAAATAGCATCAAGAATTAACAAACAATCACATCAAATTAAAAATCTTCTGTATAGCAAAAGAAACAAGTAGGGGCTGGGGAGATGGCTCAGTGGAATAAGCACTTCCCTGGCAAGCGCAAGGGCCTGAGTTCAATCCCCAGTTCCACAAAAAAAAAAACAAAACAAAACAAAAAGAAACAAGTAAGTGAAAAGACAACCTACAAGATGGGAATAAATTTTTGGCAGGTATTCTTTAGACAGGGGACTAATATGTAGAATATATAAAGAACTCAAAAATAATAAACCTCTAAAGCAAAAGACCTAAGCAAAAGTGGGCAAGTGAAATGAATACACACTTCTCAGAAGAACAAATGACCAATAAGTACATGAAAAACAGCTCCACATCTCTGGCCATTAAAGAAATGAAAATTAAAATAAAACTGAGATTCCATCCCATCCCAGGAAGAGTGGTTATCATCAAGAAATCAAATAATATGCTGGCAAAGCTGTGGGGAAAAAGGAAGCTTCTACATTGCTGGTGGGAATGTAAGTTAATACAACCATGGAAACCAGTGTGTAGAGATTCATCAAAACTGAAACTAGAAATTCTATTTGACCCAACTATTCCTCTCTTAGGTACCCTCCCCAAAGAGTTTAAAACATCTTATTACAGTGATACAGGCATACCCATGTTTATAGCAGCACAATTCACAACAGCTAAACCTTGGGAGTGGCCTATACATCCATGCGCAGATGAATGGAGAAAGAAATGTAACAGCTATACATAAAGGAGTACTGATCTGTCATAAAGGAGGATGAAGTTGTGTCAATTGTAGAAAATGGATGCACCTTAAGACCATAATGTTAAGTGAAATAAATTAGATGTATAAGCTTAAATATGATGTGGTTTGATCTTATATGAGAAACCCAAAATGTAAATAAGAGCAAAATAAAGGATAAATAGTAGCAGAGGAAACTAAACCTTTTTGCAGATAGGAAAAGAACCAAGAAATGGAGGAGAGGGGGCAAGAAGGGATCAAAAAATATCTGAGACACATTAAGTATGTGGACCAACTCCCCGCAAGGGATGTGCTCATTGTGCACTACAAACATGGACTGACAAAAAATAAAAACTGAGAAAAAAGATTTTCATATAGTTAAACACATTTACATTCCAAGAAGCCACGATATTTAATTACTATTGCA